CTTCCCTCCCTCCCCCCCCAAAAAAAAAAAAAAAAAAAAAAAACAACAACAACAACAAAATTCGTAGTAAAATAACGGAAAAAAACAACAACTCCATCGTCCCCACATTAATAAGCCCTTCCCTAACTACACCATACCCAGCCCTTTCTACCGCACCCGTTTTTTTCATTTATTTCTCGTTTTCATATTTACAGTTGCTACCTCGGGCATTGACTGGATATTTGCGACCAAGCCAAATTGCACCTGGCAGCCGGCCGGTGGCAGGCACTCAGAAGACTCGGTGTAGTGTCACTGCCAACCGCCAATGCACCTGTTAAATCATTTTTTCGTTTTCGTTTTTTTGCTCTTCTCTTTTCTCTGACGCTCTAACCTCGCGCTTGTAGACATGGTCCGGCAAGGCAAGCCGCTTATTGTTCTCATTGTAAAGCAAAAAGTGCTGTACAAAGAAGACAAGGTCGTACAATATGCTTACGGAACCGAGAGCAAATTTTATGGGGTTGCCTGTCATGCCATCCCAGTCGCTCGTCACCCAGCTGTCAATCACCTCCTGTAAGATGCTTAGTATACCGCCTGTGAAGTCGAGCAAAATGTTCCAGATGTTCCACCCAATCGTGCATTTCCTTTTGTAGTTTAGGTATACCTGCGGTACGTACTTCACAATACTGATGCCCAGTTTGATCAAACTCAGGCCGTACAGAAGGTCGAGATAATTGAAGAAGACGTCACGCTTCACGCCCCCAGCAATGAGGCAGGTCCACAGCACAATGACAAAGAATATAAGGACGATGAGTCCAGTCGCAAGGATGCTCATCTTCTGGCCGCCACGATCAAAGAAGATAATCTGCAAGCCATTCAAAAGGCAGCATACCAATGCATACACCGCAAAAACAACATCATTCAGAGCCACATTGTTACTCGACCCATTGTGGCGATCCTTGTACATATTATTTACGTTGTTATTGGCGTAGAAACACAGCGTATAAACGGAGTAACACAAGAATCCGACAATGTTCAGGTAAACAAATTCAAAGCTCTGTCCCACAACACTCCACCGGCGCGTGTTGAAGTACAACTGTGGCAAGAATGAAACTCCCCACGCCAAGAAGTAAATCCAGCCAATCAATGCCGAGATGCGATCCCACGGCTTCGGGTCATTGTTTTTTATTGGCGTCGTAAAGGCAAAAAGCACCCCACCCGCAACAATAAGAAGCGCGCAGATTGGTGCCACCACGCGAGGCGGAATAACGTATTTCCCCAGTTTGATCCCTGACGGATCTGCAAGCAAATTGTGCTCTGCATTCACATCGTCATTCTCATGTGGTTCCTTATCGCTGTGCTTATTCCTCTCCAAAGAGTGATCGCATTTCTCGTCACGATGCAAATCATTATGAGGAGAGTCCACCGGCACACTCGTCATTTCACACGTGGGTTCTGTGCCACAATTCGCCGTTGTGTCTGGTTTCATTTTTGTAAATCGGGCAAATGTTTTATTACTTCTTTGTGTAATCTAAGAAGGAAAACAACAACAACAAAAAACAAAAAAGAGCATGCGTAAAAAAAGAAAAAATGATAGTAAAATCTCTTTATGCCGCGTGCAGTGAAGAGCGTTGACAACAGGTGAAATACAGGAGTGCGCCCAGATGGTTTCTTCTCTCATTCCGTTATACACATCGCGGCAGCATTGGCCCACAACGCACACCAACATTGGCCAAATAGTTCCGCTGTGGGTGCAGATAGTCACACGCAGACACCCCAGCGCAAACTGCAAAGACGCACATTTCCCCCTCCTGCCACAATGCTCCCAAAATTATTTGTGTCTCACCCGCGCCGCCAATACCCACAACAACAACAACAACTACAAAAAGCCGCACCCATCGTCCTTCCATCTCCAAGGGGTTCGGGCAGCCCCAATCCACACGGCCCAAAGGCACGCCAAACCCAAAGAAAATACCGGAGCAAAAATGGATAAAGTGGACGACCAACACACCAGCAAATAAAAAAAAACAAAAAAAACAGGAGCCGCAATAAAGGCAAAGACCAGGCAAAACCATCAACATCTTTTTTTTCTTTTTTTAAATTTCTTTGCTGAGGGTTGTTCTTGCTGTTTTTTGTTTTTGTTTGGGCTAAAGGGCAGAGAGAAGTTCGTTCGCCATTTCAGCCAACTGCCAGTGGTTCCATATTATTTTTCTCTTTTGCTCCACAAATTGATTTTCAAACGCCCTATCGATTGCTGTGGGCCGGGCTCCCGAGTGCCAAACTTTGAGTTGGCTCACCATTCGGTCGAGGATGATGTACTTTCTCCAGTGGAGAAGAACAATTTCCCGTGTCTTTTTACCCGGATCTGTGGATGGGTAAAGTTCATCCGTGCGGAGAGTCAAGAAGGATGGCATCTCATCCTTCAGCCGCGTCATTTTCCCCAAGTAGTGTTGGAGCGGTGGGATTAGCGGATGGGCGTCAACGTCCAAAATGCCTCGCATGTAATTTTCCAGCGATTTTCCTTTTGCCACATCCTTCTCGCTACAAATCCCCAAAACCTCATGAAGGCGCGTGACGTTTTGGGACGTACTTTCGGGAATTAACGCAACAATTCGTGGCTGCGTGAGTACCCGTTGCAGGATCGGGTGGTGCAGGCCCCGATGCACTGCAACGGCCCCGTGCAGATCGTTCAAGCGCACAAGAGCGACAACAAGCTCAACAAGATATTTGTAAAGTTTCAAAAAATTTTCGGCTGCTGATGATATATGCCCTGCGTCTCTCATTTGATGGCCGTCAAGGGCCGCCGCGTGCAGGAGAACAGAGACCGTCCATGCGGAAAGATCCGTTGATGAAGCGAGAAAAGCACCCACGGGAGTGAGATGGAAGGAACTGGAGCTCAAATAGGCGGCGGAAGAGCGGTGCAGCACTTTCAGTACCTCTTCAGCCTGCAGCGATGTGAACAGGTGCAAATGAAGGGACACGAGGCCTGCAGCGTACTGCTCCACCGACAGGGCGAGAAAGAGATTCACGACTTCCTGCAATTTATCGACCCAAGACTCCGTGCGAAATTCCGTGGAGGGCCCAACGTCGGTCAGGGCACGCAGCAAAAAAATACATGTCGGATACGCCTGTCTTCTCGCGAAGGAATTTTCCTCCGCCGCCACTGTGCGACTCGGCGATGAAGACGTTAAAGTTGGTGGCCCATCAGTTAAACGATGCTGCCGTGTGGCGAGGGTGCCGGTTCTTTTTTTCTCCGCGGCTGCTGAAATGCTGTCCCGTACAAATTCCATCATTGCATGAAGCTGCGAGGGGCAATCACTCCACGGCTGAGAAATAGAGGAGCAGTCATCCAAAAAAAGATGAATACTGTGATGCATTGCATCATCAAAGTGTTGTGGGTATTCGCGAAGCCAGAGCGTTAACACAGACATGACGCGCATCTGTATACTTTGGCAAACAAATAACCAAAGTGAGGCACTGGGAGAGAAACTGTTCACTCCTCCCTTTACGGCTTTTTCGTCACCTCTGTGGGTGCGTGTTATACGCGATACGGATAAGAAAGCAGAAAGAGAAGTTCCTGGCGCATGAACACGAATGCCGTGCGCTTCAAAGTTTTCAAACCCGAGCTTCACTGATAATGGCACCGTAAATCGTTCCATGAGTTTGGCGAGTACTGTGTGGGACGACGTGAAGTAGCGGTGCTGCCGTAGGAACGCGTGTGTAAATTCTTCCTGTGCCAACAACTTCTCCTCCGAGGGCGTTGAAAGAGGCAACACGCTGACGTGCGTCAGTGCTTCTATGATTTGATGCAACGTACCGAACATGGGCATCCCGTGGCCGTCCCACCCCACCCCCGCGACGTATAATGCGTCCACGTCGTCCTGCACGGACCACATGTGTTTGTCGTTCGAGTCCAACGCATACCGCACAAACGTCTCGTCGGGTGCGGGAAGGTCCATCGACTTAAATTGTGAGGTGAGCTTCGATGCGCCATCCGACAACAGCTGGCGCACGACCAACCTGGTGGCAGCGTATGAGCAGAGGCACCACTCCAACGCCCCAGCGGATGGTCCCACAGAAGGTGGCTGGGATCCAGTTCTGTCCTCGCGGGATGGCTGTCTAATAGTCGTTGCGTCGTCGGTGGAGGCCCGTGTCGATTCGACATGGCGTCTCATATCCGCAGCCACCTCCCGCATGCCAGCGGATTGCAGATACTCCGCCACAATTTCATGGAGTGTGTCGGGCGTAATCAGAGGGCTGCGCCCGTCAACCGTGGCGGGTTCCGGCGGGGCCCCCATGCGGGTAAACGCCCGTGCTTTTATCCCCAACACAAGTGAAGTGAGCAATAAACACACAGAGAGAGAGAGAGACACAGAAAAGACAAAAAAAAAAAAACAGGGGGCGGGGTGATGATTACACTCCTTCAACCTTCCAGAAGAAAGAAAAAAAAAAAAAAAAACCGAATGGAGCGGGAAAAACGGGAAATAAAGGGAAAAACAAAAGACAAATTCAAACAAAACACATTGTGGCAAGCGAAATAGAGGGCAGTGGGGAGGCAGTCAAGCAATTACGCAAAGAAACATAAAAAAAAAAAAAACAACAAGTTCAAAGCAATGGCCGTACAAAAACAACAACAACAACAACAAAAAGGGGTAAAGACAGTAAAATTAATACATCTAGCCAAACGCTCTGTGTAGATCTCGTTGGACTCATTTGAATTTACATGAGAAAAATATAACATTTAACTACATAAGTGAAACAATAAGATCACGTAAGATTATATATATATAGATACAGATATATAGATATAGATATATCCATGAAGAAAAAAAAAAATCTCTATTGCTTAATAAATAAACACGTTTCCATCCATTACTTTGGGTCTGTGTTCTCAGACCCGTGACTCGTGACAGGAGGCTCGAGGAACCGTAAGACGGGGTAAAAGCGACCGTTCTCATCATGGCATTGCGTCATACGCTGAACAATGTCAAGGATATTCTGTTGAGTGAAGCATTCAAACTCACACCCATCCAGCGTATCGATATTCAACAGTCGAAAACGCAAGTCAGTCTCCAAGAGGGGGTGTTGATCCGACCAAAGATCCCTCTCGCGTCCAGAAACGGATTCAGCGAGAAGAAACGCACGAAAAGAGCGGTTTGCAAGAAAAGGGGCAATTTCATCTTCCAGAAACTTCTTCAATGCCCGTGACAACACATCAATGTCTTTCCCATTCTTTTCTTGCTCGTGTATGGGAAGATCGAGGCCTATTTTGGTGGCGAAACGGACATCACAAGCCACCTCTGCTGCCACGCATATACCGCCTACTGTCACAGAATGAATACACAATGCGGCACGAGGAATATAGTCATTCAATAAAAGACATGGTGTGCGATCAATGGCTGCGGCAAGCAATGAACACTCGGAAAGAAGGTTCAAGAAATCTTTCCCGTAAGTGCAAGGCACACCAACATACTGCAGGTTGCCAAGACTCGATTTCGAGACATTTCTGGTCCGGGGAAGGTGAAAGGATGAGGGTATAAATGTAGGTGCAATCTTTGACAGCGGGAGATGTAACGGGACTGTCTGAATGAAAGAGCGTTCAAGCTCGAGCGCGTCAACGGCACTCGCCAATTCTACCCTCCCCGACGTTGACAGACACCGTGGGCAGGGCACAATAGCCACGAAGGGGGTTTTCGCCAGTAAACCATTGATGTGATACCACCTTTTAATCATATCTTCTCCAAGTTCCATCTCGGCGCGGCGTGCAACCCAGCCGGCAAAAGATGCATCGCCCAGTGAAGTGGCCTCCGCATCCTGAACCTGTCTCGTCAGGCGATCGCTCTCCTCCTGCTGCCGAGCTTCGGTGGCAAAAAAACGATGCATCTCTTCATTCCAGGCGTTCTGTTGGTGCCGCATCTGGTCGACGGCATATAAGACACTCTCCACCATTTCCTTCGGCGGCGGAAGAGCCATCTCGTGATCGCTGCAAACTTCGCTCATCCGCCGCACGGTTTCCGTGGGTGCGTCAAAGCAGAGAAGGGTGGGTGGGGGGTCGTGTCTCTCCCTTCTATCCTATCCTTCTCTCTCTCTCTCTTTTTTTTTCTTCTCCTTCGGTTGTTGTTGTTTTTGCTCCTTCACTTTTATGTTGTGTTCCTTCCTTCCTTCAATCACTTTTGGCAGGCGGTGCCCTTCACTCTGTAATTTCCCCTCCTAACTTTTAGGGTGCGGGTGACAAATAAAAAAAAAAAAAAAAAATTGACAGCGTGGTATAATCCTTTTTTTTTCTTTTTTTTTTTTAAGCCGCCTCCGCTCCCCTCGCATCCAAGTGAATAAAAAAAAAAAAAATAATAAAAAGAGAGAAAGAAATGAAGAAAAGGAGATGTTTAGCGGGAACGGGTTCATGTGCCGCATCCCTTCATTTTCCTTCCAACCCCTTCCTGAACCTTTTTTTTTTTTTTCTTTTCTTTTCCTCCCTTCGCCATTTTTAAAAAGAAGCTCCACTCGCCTTTCAAGTCCATGCAAATATTCACTACACCAAACGGGAACTTTGCATTCCCGCGTGTCTTATTCTTTTTATTTTTATTTTTATCCTCCCCTCCCTTTCCCCTCTGATTCATATGCGTGCTTAAATTTCACTTAAATTTAGCCTTTAATGCGCCACGCATGCGATCGCTTTCCCCTTTTCGGCGGGCAGCGCACTCCTCCACCCTGGGATGCACTGCACCGTCCCTTTGAGACTACCCCAGCGAGAGTTTCTCCTTGAGGTCCTTCTTGTTCACCTTTCCTGTGGGGTTCCGCGGGATCTCCGGCAGAATGATGAATCGGCCCGGGCACTTGTAGCTCGCGAGAACACCACGTGCGACTCCTTTCAGCTCCTCATTGAGCTCGGGTGATTCAAAGCGTTTAAAATTGGTTGGAATCCCCCAAGCCTTCAGCGCCGCTCGCTGAGCTGCAATAACCGCAACCACCTCCTCCCCCAATGTCTCGTCCTTGCAGCCTACGACGGCAATCTCGAAGAAAAGGTCCCTGCGGGAGAGCAACGCGGCCTCAATTTCCAACGCGGAGAGTTTAAAGCCGCGGCACTTTATAATGTCGGTGCCAGAGCGACCAAGAATGGTGAAGACGGCATCCTCTTTTTCATCCCGGGGCGTTCGTACACCGACGGTGTCGTCCGTGTTGAAGTAGCGACGACCCTCTTGGCTCACAACGAGTTCCTTTTTCGTCGCCACGGGATTTCCCCAGTAGCGGTCAAACAAGGATTTGGAGTTGATGGCGAGTTGGCCAATCTCGTCATAATTCGTCGTGTTTCTTCCCTCTCCTGCGTTTTCATCCTCTTCCCTTGCGAGGGGAGATTTGCTATGCACAAAGACGCGCACTGTCGGCAGCGGTGAGCCCACTGTACCAGGGATGCGCTTGTGTACGGGACGAAGCGGTTGGCTCAGAGCCATTCCAATCTCCGTCATACCGTACCGCTCTAGCAGTGTGTGCCCACTGATCTCACGGAACCCATCTAGGATCGGCACCGGGAGAGCTGCACTACCAGACACCATGAGCCGCACCCTTTGGGAAACGGCATTTTTGAATCCCGTCTTCTCAATGGGTGACATCTTTTGATTGACCGCAGCAACCAACTTGGTGTAAATTGTGGGGACGCCCATCACCAATGTAATGTCTCCCCGCTCCATTCGATGCGCAATACGAACTGGATCATCAAATTTAGTCAAAATACAACGCGCATTGGATGCTAAGCAACAAAGAAGAATATTAACAAGCCCATGGATATGATACATCGGCAACATGTGAAGAATGGTGTCCTCTGATGACCATTCCCATTTGGAACACAGTACTCTCACCATATTTCGAAGACTCGCATGGGTATGAACAGCACCTTTGGGTTTTGCCGTAGTGCCTGAAGTGTAAATCATCACACAGTCATCACGTTTGCTTGGTCGAAAAGAGCACTCCTCTACCCAATGACGATGGACGACATTAAGCGAATCAAGATGATCTGTATCGTAAAAGAGACCTGTTCCATCTTCGGCGTCATTGACAATGCAATGCGCTTTAAACTGTTCTCGTATCATTTTCTGACGCCATGCCTCACGGTGTCCTTCCGAGGCCGCTTGCTCGTGTGCTATTCTGTCCATAACGTCTTTTGCATCCTTGATTGGATTCCGCTCTTCCTCTGGGAGCAAATGCTCCGGTAGAATCACTCTGGTCGAGGCCTCGGAAACATCCCGCTTTTCCTGTATTTCCGCGAGTAATGTCTGTGCATCAAACAATGTTTCTACATCGTATGTACTCCGTGAAAACCAGGGGAAATTCGCCACGGGATTCCGCAGACTACTGAAGCTGCGTACTATACATGGATCGTATTCTCTCGGAAATTTTTCCTTCATCATTGCCGTGTCGCTCATCACGGCTCGGCACCTACTGTGCCCCAAAATGTATGACAACTCCGTCGCATAATTCTGCGAAGCGGAAATCGGAACAGCCATTTGATTCAGCGACCATGCCGCCAGGAGTGAGACCACGAAGGTGTACCCCGTGTCACCAATGATGGCAATGTTGTACCTTCCATCATCTTTCATGAAATCACAGCTCAGCACCTCGCCTTTGACATCCGAAAAGACACTTCGCACGTTACTCGGCCGGGGTCGCTGCACCCAACTGAGCGAAGGCTCTCCATATGCGACCATCAACGCCTCTCTTCGTTGGGTGATGACGTTTGACATAGAGAGCACATCCTTTTGCAGCTGCCCGTACGTGTAGCGTTCGGTCTTTCTCCCCGGAATCTCCACCACTATCGCCTCCTTCTTCACAGGCGCCGAAAAGACGCTCTGTAAAATCGAATTGTAGCCAAAGAGAGTGGCAAAAGGGACTTTGTCAAGCTGACACCGAAGAGAACGAAACATTGCGCTCCCCACCCCCCCCCGCTTTTTTATTTTACCTCTTTGATTTTTCCTTCTTTTCCCGTTTCTTTCTCTAAACACAAAAGCCCTTTTGTGTTGCCCCCTGCATTCTTCCGTCGCTCGGGCAGGGGAACAAACAAACAAACAAACAAAAACGAGGAGAGAGGGGAAAGAGGCGGGTCGGTAGAAAAAAAGCGCATGGACAGAAATAACGACCCGCACCGCCGTAAAAGCCAGTCACACAACCCAAAAGAGAAAACACATCAAACCGTCGCGGTTGCGACGGGGCAACCACTCACCTTTTCTTTTTTTTCCTTATCGTTTGTTTGTGTGGGTGTGCGAGGTCTCCCACACCTCAACATCCCGCCGCTCCGTCTCGCAAAAACTCCTCGGCTGCAAAAAGAAACCAACAACAACAACAAAAAAGCCTGCAAAAAAAAAAGAAAAAAATACATAAAACAAACGCCAAAAAATAAGAAAGTAAGGCGCGTGCGTACCATTCAATACTTCTCATATTTTTCTTTTCTTTTCCAATCTTCTCTTTCCTTCCTCTCCCCACTCAACCGAGCAATCCATCGTAAATAACCCTTATGCCAATGGAGAGAAAGCACATATAATATAATATAATATAATATAATATAATATAATATAATATAATATGTATATCTCATACATTTTTTTCTCCTTGACGTGTTGTTTCATTTTTTTTTTCCAAGCGTGTCCCTCTCCCTCGTTGATTGTACATCACTAGAGAGGCCTATGGATGAGGGAATTCATTGCACATGTACTCTCCTCACTTCCCACAGTAAGTCCCGTTTTTTCCCCTCATACCATGAACTTCCCCCAACAGCAGTTCTTTCTTTCTTCTTCCATGTGCACTTCTTATTTTTCTTTTCACTTCTTTACCAGAGATGTGAGTTTCGGCACAGCAATGAACAGGTCCTCTACAAGACCGTAGTCTGCCACCTGAAAAAAGGGCGCGTCAGCATCATTGTTGATGACGGCAATCACCTTCGCGTCCTTCATCCCAGCCACGTGCTGAATCGCCCCGGAGACGCCACAGCCAAGGTAGAAGTTCGGCGCCACCGTCTTGCCCGTCTGGCCAATCTGCATCTCGTTCGGACAGTAGCCGGCATCTACAACGGCGCGAGTCGCACCCACCGCCGCCTTCAACGGCTCTGCGAGTTCATTGAGAATTTTGAAGTTCTCGGCGTTTTTCAGACCGCGGCCACCGACAACGACATTGGCAGCCGTTTGCAGGTCTGGCTTTTCACTCGAGGCGACGGTGTCTTCAATCCACTTGGATTTTCCCTCCGCTTTCGTGGCCTCCACTTCCTTCGTTTGGGCACTACCGCCATCCAGCGGCGCGCGCTCGAAGCTGGTGCCGCGGATGGTGGCATACTTCACCGGGTCCAAAGACCGTACCGTACTGACAACGTTGCCAGCATACATGAGGCGAACAAAAGTGGAGTCATCCTTCACTTCTGTCACGTCTGAGATCGGCATCGCATCTGCTTTTGCTGCAGCACGAGGGATCACATTTTTTCCAAACGCGGATGTGCCTGCAAAGACATGTGTGTACCCATCCTTCACCACAGATGCAATGAGGGGGGCATACTCCTCGGGCAGACCCTTCTCGTATTGGTCACCCTTTGCGGCAAGCACGTTCTCAACTCCCTTCACTTTGGCGACATCCGCCGCTGTCTTCGTGGCGTCCTTTCCGGCGACAAGTGCGGTGACAGGGCCAACCTTCATTCCCGCCGTCACGGCGGCGAGTGTGGCAGGAGACACCTTACCATTGTGCATCTCAGCAACGACGAGCACCTTGCCGGCCATGGCAGAGAGAGTACGGCGCAGCATCCTTTTTTTTTTCTTCTCCAATTTTCTAGGTGTGGTTTTAAAGTTGCTGCTTCGTGGGGATCTTGTGTAAATGAATGCAACGCGTTTTACGTGAAGGGCTGCACCCTGCAGAAAAAAGGGAGAAGAAACAGAAACAACAACAACAACAAGAAAAAAAAAGAAAAGGGTGAGGTGAGACTCATTCGCGGCCGCCGACAGCAATACACGGGCACATGTTCGGCCAAGGCTTCATAAAGCAGACGGAGAAAAGGCATCATCCGCATCATCATCGGCGCCAACCGCCGCTGCGTCTCCTCCATCCCCGCGCTTACGAGAACGTTGATGAAATTACATCATCTCCTGCTGCCCGGTAGGCATGGGAGCAACAAATACAAAAAGTGAGAGAAATGGCGATTCCACCCGGATGTCCTCCCATGTTTTTTTCTTCACTACTCTATTCATTTCCAACCGACTGCCTCTCATTCAACGCACTCGACGGCATCACATCCAATTTCACCTTTTGAACGCTCTGTAAACGCCTTCAAGGTGTTTCCGCTGCAGCACCTCATCCCATGGCGGTGAACGACGTGCTCGGTCACATGCAGCCCATTCCACAGAGTAGAGGCATGTTTTAAACAGCGGGGCAAATTTCTTCAGCGCACATCAGCACTGGAAACGCCTTCTCTCCACTTGCCTCAATAAAACTTTTAAGTCACCCATTCCGGCGGAGCACGGACTTCATCGTGGAACGAAAGACCCCGCAGGGGATGAGCACCAGCATCAAACAAGCCTCCCATCTTCATGTTGTTCGCAAGGTGAACGATGGGGAGTCGCCGTTGCCACACGTGCGACCTTTGCTCGTCCAGGCGAAGAGGGAACTTGCGCACGACGTGAAAAAAAACAACAACAAAAAACAAAAAAACAGGGGTTCAGTGAAGCATCTCCCCAGTAAACTCCCGATGGGTCAATGCGCACTTCTGCCGGCACCAACACGTATTTGTTCTCCTCCCCTCCTTCTTTGGTCTGCCGAGCAAAATAAAAAAGAAAAAAATAAGAAAAAAAAAAAATAAAGAAAAAGAAATGTCGAGGGAAAACCCCAGGAGGATGTTCCACCCATCAACACAATACGGCCATGCGTAGTGACATGCAAAAGGAGCGGGCCATTCCCACCCGAGAAAAACAATTTTGGAAAAGACACACGTGTGACTTTCCACCGCCCTCTTTTTCTTGATACATGTCGCAAAGCAAATTTACATCTCAGTAAAAACAAAAACAAAAACAAAAAAATAAATAAAAGATGGAGAATCAGGAAGAGTTGGAGAAGAAAGAGAAGAGAGAGAGAGAGAGGATGATGGTGGGATCGGGGGGGAAGAGGAATGCCGCATAAGCAGCAACAAATCCAAAAAGAACTACAAAACAAGGAGAAGTTCATACATGCGCATGCAAAAAACGAAAACAAAAAACAAAAACAAAAAACCGCGGTGTAAATGGAAGAGATCGTAACAAACATGTAATGGAAGCAGCAAGAAGAACACAAAAAGAACTCGCACACACCCACACACGAGAGGAGGGGCAGAGGGAAATAAAAAACGAATACACACACACACAAAAAAAAAAAAGGAGTAAAGAAAGGCGCCATTTTGTATACAAAAGCCGCTTCACTCCGTAAATTTCTATAATGTGGTGTAAGAAGTCAAGAAAATATAGGTCTATATGTACACGTGCATGTACGTATCTATTCACAGGTTCATTCAGAAGAAGTGAGGGCGTTTCTGCTTGTTTTTTTTTTTCCCTTTTTTTTTTTGTCTGCCCTCTTCTTTGCAGCGCACCTTCCATTGCGTGATTTTACTCCCCCTTTTTTTTTCCTTTTTTTTTTGGGTGCCGGCGCCGGTGCACTCTTCACGTCCCCGATCGATTGGTACATGTGCCGCCATTCCATCACTCTCCGTTGCTTTGTTTCGTTCTTTAAGTCTTGATGCACACAAGGCGCATGTTTCCTTTTCCCTTCCACTTCCCACCTTTTCCACCCCACCGGCACCATCACTTGCCTCCTCAACCTTTTTTTTTCCCTTTTTTTTTTTTGTTTGCTTTATGTGTTCTTGCGGCGCCACATCAATTCCCTTTTTTTTTGCGGCGCGGCGGTCCAACCGCACCGGATGAATTTCTTTTCGTTTTGTTTTTTTTTCATTTTCTTTTCCTTTTTTCCCCCTTTTTCCATGTTTCCCATTGCTGTTGCCCTTCCCATGTACCCACACACTTCCCCCCGCTGCTGCTGCTGCTGCTGCTGCCTTACAGGGAGTGAATGTCGAGGTCGCCCACGGACCAAATCATAATTGCCCCCTCGTCCCCGACGGAGACGATCTTCTTGTTGTCAGGCGAGACCCGCACCTTCTGGATGTTGCAGCTGTGCGCCAACCCCACGGCGACGCAGACACCCTCGTCGTAGCCCCACACCTTCACGATGCGGTCATTGCCACCAGTGACAAAGAAGCGACCATCGGTGGAGATGGAGAGACTATTCACCTCACCCGTCTTGCTGCCAGGGATTTCACGAATGGCGCCACAGTCAACCGTGTCCCACCATGTGATGGTTTTGTTTGTTCCAGTTGTGAGCAGTTGGCTTTCATCTACAAAGTACTCCACGGCCCGAAACCTTGTTTGAGAGTAGATGACATCACGACGAACATGCCGCATCAGATCCCATACAATGCAGCTGCCATCATCACTGGCACTGACGCACTCCAGATTATTTTTTGAAATGCATATGGCGTTCACTGTGGCCTTGTGTTCCTTCATGGAGGCCACCAACTCACATGTCGCGCCTCGCACCTCCCAAAACCGGACAAGGCCGTCTGCACCGCCCGAAATAATGTGCTCGGATGTACTGTCAACACATACCGCGGTCACACCAGAGGAACTGCCACCCATATTTTTGATTCCCTCCCTCTTGTGAGCATCGTTGACAGCAAACACAAGCTTGCCAGACTGTGGACCAAACGCGCGCAGTTTACCATCATCCCAGCCGGAGACTATCAAAGAGCCATCCTTTGTAAACTGAATACAATTACACAGGAGCCCGGCAATCTGAATACGCAGAAGCTCATTGGAGTTGGATGCATTCCAGACTCTAATGTCGGGTCCACAACATGTTGCGAAGAGAGCACTGAAGCCCTCTGGAAATACGACATCATTCACCGTATCGCTGTGGCATGTCAAGCGCAATTCTGCATTGAAATTTCCGCTCTCTACAAGGTACACGTTGCTCTCCTCTGTACCCACAATAAAACCCTGCTGGACAACGGCAATCCCTGAGACAGCTCCTTGCACGGTTACCGATTTGAGCACCGTCAGGTTAATCTTGGAAAGCAAAGTCACTTCACCAGAGCCGCTCCCCACCAGAACGTCACCAGATCGGGTGAGAATCATGGAATTAATGCCGCCTGGTAACTTATTTTGTGGACCACTCATCTTGAAGGCATTGGCATCTCGTTCCAGCAGAACACATAACACGTCACCGCTTGTGGTGCCACAATAGGCATATCGATCCGTTTCCTCCACGACAATGGTTGTGATGCATCGACGGACGGTTCCCATGTTGACATCACTTGGACTCATCTTGCGGTCGTCTGGATCAATGGTCCAGACACGAAGTGACCCCACACCAGCAGTAATGAGTTTTTCACAATTACTGTTAAAGAAGGCCACCGCCTTGGATTCTGTATGGTGGGCAGGAGCACCACAGAGGGGACGTCCTGTTGAAACATCCCACACCACAACAGCCTTGTCATCCACGCCACCAATAGAAACGAGATACCGCTCATCCTTTGAAAACGCAAGCGCCTGAACCTTCACCTTATGGAGAAGCATACGATGCACCATCTGGCGTTCATCATAGTCAAAAATACAAACGTCTGCCTGAAATCCCGCATGTGTCACCTGTCCAGAGGCAACGAAACGCCCACTCGAGCTCACAGTGATGCAGCTGATCTTGTCGTTGTGTCCGTAGAGAAAGCTGGAGGCGGATCGATCATTTACCTTTTGAATAACAATGCATGCACCTAATCCATACACGAGGTTTTCTCCATCTGGGTGGGCAATAATACTGTTTGGGATTCGTCCCCCAAACCCAATGACGGATTCAAGGGCCAGCCGCGCTGTTTTCTCATACTCCTTGGCTGACATTTCAACAAAATTGGGTCGCTTTTCTTTCTTCCTTTTAAATATGTTTTTTTATTTTATTTTAAATTTTCTGTTTTGGCTGCTTTTGTCACTGTTATGGTGGACGTCAATGTCGCTGAGCGTGCGCAATGTGTGAGTGCCTCCGTCTATTTATGCCAACTCCCCTTTTCGTTTCTTTTCTGTTTTCTCTGTTTCCCTTCCCCCAACACGCAGATGCGTCTTAATTTCTTTCTTTCGTGTATTCTCAGCCTTTTTTTATTTTTCTTTTTTTCTTCCTGAGAGAGAGAGAGAGAGAAAGAAAAGGGGCAGGAGGCATCAAAAACCCCCAACAGTCGGATTACACGTGAGGCGAAGAAAAGAGAAAGAGTCGCGCACATCCGGTGACAACAACAGGAAAACAACAACAACTATGGAACGCACTTCCACTCCGCGCGGTGTCAAAGATGCAGCCACCGCCTCAGTTCCTCCACGACACGTTCCACAATCTTCTCGGGTTCCAACGCCGCGGATACTCGCACCCCAAACTCGCCCTTCTCCGGCCGCAGCGGCTCCAACGTGGCGTACTGCGATGCAAGTAAACAAGCCGGCATATACGCATGATGACGCCCCTGCAGGCGTTTGGAAATGAACCCGATGTCGCCAAAAAGCTCCACAAAGAACACCTTCACTCTTCCACTGTCGCCCAAGTGGTCCGAGCGAAGCACGTCCCTGTACGACTCTCGCAACGCGGAACATGCAAGCACGACACCGCCTCCTGCCGCCGCCCTCGACGCACCCTCTATGGCCTCAGTGCGCAGAATTTTCAGCCACGGCAAGCGGTCCTCATCATTAAGAGGCACACCCGACGCCATCTTTTCCACGTTGCCCGCGGGGTGATAATTGTCACCTTCTGCAAAGTCCCAGCCGAGCTCCTGTGCAAGGCGGAGACCAATTGTGCTCTTGCCCGTGCCCGAGGGGCCCATGACAACCACAGCCACCGGCACAGAGAGCGGAGGATGCGACGGAAGGGGGGAGACCGCCATTATTCGCCACCCTCTCGTTATTCCTCCTTCCGACCTCCCCCAACTTTCCTTTCAATACGTCCCCCACACGTGTCAAAAGGCGGCTGCCACAAAAGTAGAATAAAAGACAGGAAAATAAAAAAAAGTGAAAGTATCATAAACCATGAAACGATCACAAAAAGCCCAAATGCCATGATGTGTGTAAACAAACGCAAGAGTGGTGGAGGGAAAAATTGAATAAATACATACCGAGCTAGAAGTAAAAGGGGAGTAGCAAGACCAGAAACAAAATTAAGAAGTCTGCGTGCATGTGTTTCTTACCGCACGCAGTGAAACACACACACACACACAGAAACACACACGCACACAGAAACTATCAAGATGAAGGGCAAAAAAGGGGATTCAAACTATTAGAGCCCTCTACTTGCCGCATCATGCGCCTATATATATATATATATATCCAGTCCTTGCCCTCCCCCTTTTTTTTCTTTCTTCTCCACCCACCTCACTGGTTGTTGCCCGTCAAGCGTTGTCCTTGGCGCCCCCGCTAACTCCCAACACAAGGTGCTCAAGACCTAAAGTCTTCAGTTTAAGGAAATAATCCACAGGCACAAACAGCGGGAGCTCCATCCGTGTGAAGAATGACACAACGTCGTCCACGGCAGCATTGAAACTGGAGGTATTGTTTGCGGGGCGCAACTTCCTCTCCTTTTTTGCGAGTTTTGTGTCACCTGAATTCTCGGAGCAAGGGCAGGGGAGGGTGCTTGCCTGTCCCTGGAAGGCTGGGCGAAGCTCCAGTGCGGCATTCAGAAGCGGCAACCACGCCGTGAGGTCCTTGTTCTCCACGCGGCGAATGTACTCGGTATCGCGACGAATTTCCTCCACAGGACCAATAAGAACGCATGCAACAGGTGAGGTTAAAAGATCCACCGTTTTCTCCACAGATGTCAAAGTGCCCAACTTTCCCAAATGGTCAAAAATGTTGCCTCGCGTAAAGTACGCAAATGTTGGCAGAGCAATTATATCATGAATACACGGATTGCACACCACACTGCACTCTGCGGCGCGCAAAAAAACAACGTGACAAGAGACTTCTTTCGCAAGCGATTTATATAGAAGCGGGGCAGGTGGCCACGGGAGTAGACCCTGCATATCTTCCTCCTTCTTTCTCCCATCATCACTGTTATGACTACAACAGTGGACGGGAGAAAATGTTTCTTCGGGAATGGCTGCGGCAGAAAGAACTAAATACATCAAAAGCATGTACTGATCGTATCCCACAAGAGGGGTAGCGCGAGGGGTGTCGCCAAGCATGCGTGGATTTAGTTCGATAAGGATCGGCATTCCCTGAGAGACACTACCAAAACGATTATCTATGCGAACTTCGCAATGTGAACATCCCTGCCGCATGCCAAGGGCATCAACACATTGAAGGGTATACGCCACAACGCGCCTTACCTCAGAGCTCGGATCCAACTCCGCCAAGTTATGCACAAATTCAATACGATCATACAAAAGTGCCGTGCTGTTTTGTTGAACCGGAAGTCTGCCACGCCCCGTACATTTATACTCACGTCTGAGTCTCTCCTCCACAGAAGGAAGGAGTCTTGTGCTGTACAACGAAATGGGATACTTCCAGCTTTTCCAAACATCAGAGACAACATGCTTTCCGTTGTAGCTCACAATGTTCACAACGTATTCTTGTCCCTCAATGTATTCCTGCAAGAGCATATGAGACGCATCCGTCATTTGGGTTGTCTTCACGTTACGTGTGAGAGAAAAGGCGGTGTCGATTTCTTCGTCGCTGTAACAAATGGTCACCAGCTCCGATCCTGCGCCACTCACGGGTTTAACAATAACGGGGAATGGAATTTTCTGCTCCCGTCTCCAGCGCTTCGCATCCGCGGCGCTAAATCCAGAAATGCCGCGAATATGCGTCAGACCGTGGGCCTTCAGAGCCCGTTGCATACCATCCTTATCTTGTCTTTGCTTGACTGACGTGAGTACATCGTTCCCCAAGAGGATTCGGGTACGTCTGCGGGGGGGTTGCAGTATAACTTGTTCACTTCTTATCGTCCTTGTCACATCATTTCCAAGGGAAATTCCCGATGTGAAGTTTATACTACGCCCGTTGCTGCTCAAGACACAGGGTCCTCGTAGAGTACAGGCACGAGGCGGCTGCATTCCGCCAAAATGTCTGGCGTGCAGGTAGTCCACCAGGGGCACAAGACCGTCCACGGTGGTGGTAAACGCCACGATGTCCATAAACCCCTCCGCAAGAATGTTGTTTTGATAATACTCCTCGTAGCTGTCAAAATCCGTAATGATGCCAGATTCGACATCCAGAAAAAAAATTTCAACCTCGGGACTACTGTTGATTCGCTCCGCCACCTCACCCCACGTGAGCGTCGGATAGCCACTGCTAGGTTCATCAAGATGTTCCTCGCGGAAGCACGGCAGCTGGGTTTTGCCTATCGGTAGCATGGACTTGCTCAAATTGCGAAAGTAGTTCCTTTGCTGAGAAAACACCTCAAGCGCCATCAGAGATGGCATACGCCTGCGCCGCAATTCCTCCACACAACCCTCAATATCCGGCCACCAGCGATAAAGAAGTCGAGATGCCGTTTCCTCTGAGCAGCCGAGACTCCGCAGCGTCTCATACGCCCGCTGGTCAATGTTGCTTTGCGTCATTTCCGCAGTTGCACGCAGTTTCTTTTTATTTTCGGCGTAAACAATCACCGGTTCCAACCGAACTTCCACTAGGATGCCATTCAAGCCATGAATAAAACCAAGTCCGCACCGGCGTCGTAATGCGGAACGCAAACACAGTGGGGGGAGGAAAATAGAAAAAAAAGAGGAAAAAGAGGGAAAACAAACAAAAGGGTCTTTATACAATTCGGTAACGCTGTCTCAATGCCCCGGCGTGGTGAATGTACATGCCTGCTTAAGCACACACACACACACACACACGAAAAGGGAGAGGGATCAATCGCAGGAGGGAATAACTGCACCGGCCATGTGGCGCAGCATCCAGTTACAATAGTGTACAGGAAACAGAGGCAACACACAAGAAAAAAAAACAACAACGAAAAGGGTTACAATTTTCGACAAAGAGAAATTAAGCATGCACACAAAAGTAATTACTCCCTTTATCTCAGCTGCTGGGGAGTTCTAGGGAGGGCAGCACGCATCTAAAGCCTTTCCGCTTTCAGTTCGCGCTCTAGACGCTGAAGCTCACGCTTCTCCTCCCGCCGAGACGCCGACTGCATTAAGGAACCCCAAGAGGCATCGGAGCGCGGAATGGAGAAATAGTCACGGCTGCCGGCCTTTCCAGCAAACCGCCATGACTGAAAGCTTGACGGCGGGAGATGGCATTGCTCATGTGGACTTCTTTGGCCCATCACGGTTCGATCCCTTAACTGCTCTTTGAATGGCGACGCGACCAGACTGCGGGAGCCGAAGCCAACCTTTGCCGTTTCCTGGCGGGAGGCGCAAGGACCACCGCCCACAGGAACGGGCACTGCACACGGTGATGGACACCGCGCAAAACGGCACTGCTCCATCAACGCCTCCGCGCAGTTGTGGCGATCTGCGGGACTATAAAACGATAATAGCCCCATACATTGCCTATAATGTGCACTGGTCGTCATGACGCAGTACTCTCGTTTCGCCTTCAATCAACAAAAGAAACGGGATAGAAAAAAACACGGCAGAATTTCAGGCGGCAGCTCGTGCGGCCCACAAATATTTACCCCCCCCCCCCCCTTTTTTTTTTTCCTTTTAAAGGAACACAACACGGAGGGGATGCCGTCCTTCCCTCTTTCACGATCAACATACACACCCAGGCGGCAATAATCGCAAGCATACAAAACCCCCCCCCCCACAAAAACACACACACGCACACAAAATAAAACAAAATACTGCCTTTTATTTTAATTCCTTTCTTATTTTTTTTTTTTTTTTTTTTTTTTTTTTGGGGTGGGGGGCAGTGCTGCCGTCGTTCCTCTTCAGTTTGTACAAATCTAAAACTGGCACACGCCATCTCATCGACTCTCATCTCACCCCTCCGGTAACTGTACAAGTGATTTCCTTGGTCCACTCTATAGATGCAGACAAACTGGGCACAAAACCCTTTTCCGCGCCGCTACCACAATGAGCAACAACAGCAACGTCTAGCATTAAACGCAATGCAGAGTTGCTTGTGCATGTGCGTGCAGGTGGGTGAAGGGAGGATGGGGAAATCTAAATGTTAAAGACAAGAATTTCTTCTTTCCCCGTACGCAACTTCATGTGCGACAGTATTTTTGCGTCGTACGTTTGGTTTTCTTCTTGAGTTCCATCGTCGTTTATGATCTCGTCCTTAAAGTAAAACATTTCGTTTTCGTCATCCTCCTCCTCCACGGCATCGTTCTTCTTGCTCACCGCCACAGGCTCTTGTCTCCCCCGCAGCGTTTCCACTTTCTCCGCAGTAGTGCTGGCAGAAGCAGAGGCAGTGGACGACTCAAGAAGACGTTGCTTGTTTGAAGCGTTGCTTCCTTTTGCTCTGGATGAAAACAACGGTTGCAGTGGGAACACGGAAGAGAACGATTCCGTGTCCTCGTACTTTGCGCGCTCATCCGCACTCATGCCCATCCATATTTTGCGTGCCCGTCTGAGGAAGGCGTAGTTGCTGCAGGCCCTCCCTGTCATCATAAGACCGTGCCGATAACATTCATTGTAGTAAAAACGGCGGAAGGCCGATGAAGACCGACGTGGTGCAGATATTGGCGAGTAGAAACAAAAGTTAAGTGCCGCCTTTTGCAGCTCCGACAGCATCGACCACTTTCCCACCGAATCCTCACGGGACAAACCGTAATCTCGAGAACAGTAGCGGAAGTAGAGATGCGCCCCGCTAATAGGATGCATTTCACTGGATCGCTCAAAGCAGTAGTACTTCATCTTTGTCTCCTTCGGAAGTGCAAACCAACTTGGCACCTCGTCCTTTGATTGCCTCAGCGTTGCCTCAACAGAGCCCCCGCACCGAATGACATACTTGTAATACTCCTGGTTGTAATAGCTGATGGCCGGGCTCGTCATGGATCGAACCTCCTTTAGTGAAGCCACACCACACATCAACTTGGACCCAAAGAGCCGTTCCTGTTCGTATTCACGGCGAAGTTCCTCTCTTTTACCCTCCGCCTGCATCAGCAACGCCTCCTTCTCCCTCGGTGACAACTTTTCAAACGCCCGCATGACGCTTGAGCGCTGGAACTGCACCAATTCGGCTATAATGTCACGCACTTCCTTTTGCGAGCCGCGCTCCACAAGTTCTTCGTCACGAACAGGCCCTTGACGCAGTGACCATGTAAACAACGGAGGGCATACGTCAAAGTTATTTCTATTCAAAATCAGGAATGCCTGAAGTAATCTGTGCTTTTCAGTACACTTCTTTCCCACGCAGAAGCAACGGAGGTGTTTCTCCACAAAAAAATGATGGTACAAGTTGATATTTATCCGCCCCTTTTTGTCGGTGTACCGTGCCCACTCCTCCTTGGTTGGCGGCACCGTGCCTGTGCTCTCAATCAGCTCCACAAGATGACCCCGATTCTTCAATTTCAGGATTTCGTCCTCCACAATTTGCAAGATGCGTCGCTGGACCCAACCGGGAGCCTTACGCATCCCTTGGAACCCATTCCCCGTCGCTGTTGGCGAACTGTTTTTAAAAAACACATACCTCTTCACATTTTCGGGGAAATAGCGAATTTCGTTCTCAATGCACTTGTTTATCTCCTCACGGAATTGAATGCGGCGGTGGAAAAAGACGTCATCACGCAGGCGGATCGCTCGGCGGCTGCGAGGCCCCTTCTCGTTCTCCACAAGCCGCTTGCTATTGAGGTAGTTGTAATTCTTGCGGCCGCTCCTGGGATCGCTGCGGACTGTCCCAGGCGACGGGTACGACGCCACACAACGCGCAGAGAAGCGCACCGTCTGGTCGCTGAGCAAAGGCAGCGCCGTGGGGCAGCGCGGGAGGCAGAAAAAAACTGAAAAGGCTCGTCGCATCATGTTGGCAAGCACTTCCCCTCGGTTCTCGGAGTTGTTTGCCTTCCAAATTCTCTCTCTCTCTTTTTTTTAAAAAATAGAACGCTGTTTCCTCCCGAGATATGTTGTGGAGGTGGCGCGGTACTCCCCAAACGGAGTTGTTTAATTACCGAACTTAAAAGGGAGGGCGAGCGCGTTGAATAAAACGCAAAAAAAAAAAACAAAAACAAAACGTAAGCTACAAAATGAAACCCGGAATATAAAAGGGGAGAAAAAAAAAAATAAAGCGGGATGACAAAAGGTTGATGAAGGGGCACTTGTTGGGAATTCCCCAAACACACACTCCTCCCCTTCCCTCCTTCCTTCTGTGGTCCTTCACAGGGACAAGAAGGAACGCAGCAATAAAAAAAAAAACACAAGATACACCACCAAAGGAGACACCAAAGACTCCCAACGACTTCCCACTGACACCCATACAACCAACACAAACACACACACACACACACACACACACACACACACACAGACACAGACAAACGTACAGAAATAAAAATGGAAATAGCTGCGATGGCAATTGTGCTCTCTTGAAATAAAAAATAAACAAAACAACAACAAAGAAAAGCCAACAAAAACCAAAAAGAAACCGCGTATACTAGTCAACTCACGTGGAAAGCACCTTCCTTCTCGGTCGCCCACGCTGCTTGACTGCGACGGGAGGCTCGTCGGATGCATCGGGCACCGTCAGCATCGTCCTTCTCGGTCGCCCACGCTGCTTGACTGCAACGGGAGGCTCGTCGGATGCATCGGGCACCGTCAGCATCGTCCTTCTCGGTCGCCCACGCTGCTTGACTGCGACGGGAGGCTCGTCGGGTGCATCGGGCACCGTCAGCATCGTCCTTCTCGGTCGCCCACGCTGCTTGACTGCGACGGGAGGCTCGTCGGATGCATCGGGCACCGTCAGCATCGTCCTTCTCGGTCGCCCACGCTGCTTGACTGCGACGGGAGGCTCGTCGGATGCATCGGGCACCGTCAGCGTCGTCCTTCTCGGTCGCCCACGCTGCTTGACTGCGACGGGAGGCTCGTCGGATGCATCGGGCACCGTCAGCATCGTCCTTCTCGGTCGCCCACGCTGCTTGACTGCGACGGGAGGCTCGTCGGATGCATCGGGCACCGTCAGCATCGTCCTTCTCGGTCGCCCACGCTGCTTGACTGCAATGGGAGGCTCGTCGGATGCATCGGGCACCGTCAGCATCGTCCTTCTCGGTCGCCCACGCTGCTTGACTGCGACGGGAGGCTCGTCGGATGCATCGGGCACCGTCAGCGTCGTCCTTCTCGGTCGCCCACGCTGCTTGACTGCAATGGGAGGCTCGTCGGATGCATCGGGCACCGTCAGCATCGTCCTTCTCGGTCGCCCACGCTGCTTGACTGCGACGGGAGGCTCGTCGGATGCATCGGGCACCGTCAGCGTCGTCCTTCTCAGCCACCCACGCTGCTTGACTGCAACGGGAGGCTCGTCGGATGCATCGGGCACCGTCAGTGTCGCCCTTCTCGGCCGCCCACGCTGCTTGACTGCGACGGGAGGCTCGTCGGACAGCTCTGGTTCAGTGAGTTCCGTCCTGTACTTCTGGTTAATGCCCACGTTATATACTGCACCGGTACTGCAGCTGTTATCTACGTTTGGTTGTGGGGAGAAGTGGGGCACTTCATCGTGAAAAGAATAATAAAATGCCATTCGCTGGAGCTCGCTAAGGCACTCAAATCGTGGAAACTGACGCTTTTCTAACGCGGTAGGCGTCTCACATGAAATCGTTTTACCCGCATCTTCTTTTTTGCCGTCCTGTGAAAGTGCGTTTGGTTGCACGAGAGACTGCGAGTAACTCTCGCAGTATCGACTGTATAAATGCGCTGGCGACACACTGGGGGTGGCAAATCCGTACAAATGACGTTGAACGGGTGCATGCAGTTGAGCGAAGCAACTGAAGGAGAGTCGAGAGGAGAGAGTAAGATCCTCAAACGATGGGAGTGATGGTGGGGGCACGCAGTGGCCACGAGTGGAAGTCCATGAGGCAATTACTTTCAGTTCTTGATGCAGTCGACTGAGCCGACGATATGTCAGGTGTGGTGGGGTCAACGCCCGCACCTCGTCGCGGGCAAAAAAAAGCAACAAAAGACCTTTCCTGGCAAGGACGTCCATAAACACTTCCCACCTCAATTTCTCCAGATTTCCATGACGCACTGCACGGCACATGTCGATGCTGTCTTCCAGCTTCATCTTTTGAAATATACCCCAGAGGTGGTTGAGGTGAATATCCTCCAGCTCCCCGTTCCCGGGGTTGAGAATCTCGCGTTCCCCTCGCCAAGAGGCCGGAAAAACACCTGAATGCCGCTCTGGTGAGTGCTCATTTCCGGCGCTACACAAAACACCACTCGGCCTGGCATCTCCTGCGGGAAAAGAAACTTCACCCGGCTCAATCACACTCATGTAGAACCTATCACGCAAGTACGAGTTCCCACTTTCATCGTTCATCATCATCATCACTTTGTCGTCTTCGCCGTCTCTCGACGTTTCTTCCTGCCCGTCATTCGGCAAATCACACTCCACAGGCTCTTGAGGCGTATCCCCAAGTGCCACTTCATCCGAATTCTCCCTGGGGCTCTCAGTTTGCTTAGAGCGCATTGCCCCTACAAACTCCGCCCCCAATATACCAGGATGGGACTCGTATCGACTAAACGGCGGCCGCTGCGGCGAGGGTAGAGACAACAGGTTGCGATAGGATGCCACAGAAACGCGCCAGAGTGCCGAGGTGTCTTCAAAAGAAGATGCATCCTCCTGCAGGAACTCCCACAGGACATTCTGCAAGCCATACGAGTAGAAGTTCATCTTTTCGGGTTCCTTAAAAAGAGAGCCTGGAATTCTCACCGAGAATTCACTTGTGTTGTGATCATCTTCGTGGCCGCAGGCAGAGTTATCCACTGACGTCGTGCAGGGGTGCGATGCGGTGTGACAAGACGTACGATCAAAAGAAAGGCATGTTGACTGGTCCACAGAAGTAAAAAGGAGCTCCAATAAGGCAAGCAGATCGTCACGCCACATGGTTTCGTCTGAAATAAAACGATGCAGCATGTAGCGTAGAATCTTCTGCTCGCCCACCACAGCGTGGTGCTGGGGTGCCGTCTCAGCGTTCTCTTGCAGCTGACGCACCCAGCCGCTCTCCAAAAATAGTTTTTGGATCATCCAATCATCCATTAGCCGCATGCCGCGTAATCGTTCCTCCACTTCCACGTATGTTACAACTCCCGTCTGAAAGTCCCTGAGGCCAAAAAGCACCTGCTGTAGATCCCATGCACGCAGCAAGGTACTTATTTTCCCTTCCTCATTGCTCTGCGCCGGTGCCGAGTGGTTGCTCCCATCACGCCTAGAAGAGGAATCAGGGGCAACAGAAGAAGTAACCGTGCTGATTCTGTTGCTGTTGCAGTGATGGCTGAGGGTCTCTGCCTCAATGGCAAACTGTGATGACTGACTCGCGTACAGCCGACCCTGACAGCACAGCCTCGGGGATGCGAAACATCGCCTGCCAGACGTCAGCCCAAAGCCACGGAGCAGCCAGTCAACGCGGGAGGAGACATGTCGCACGCACCGCTGCTGCATAACTACCCTTCGCCACACAGACACGAAAGCCACACTGCCAACGCGTATGCGATTGTGATTCTCCCCTCGCCCTCGCCCTGACTATCTCCTCCTACGCCCACCCGCCCCCAACTCCCCGGCGGTTTTCTCCACCTTCTGGAATGCAGCAAAGCAGAAAAAAAAAAAAAAATAAAAATAAACGAAGAAAAGGAGTTAATGCCACTAGCCCACACGTTTGTCCACTGCACCGGCGCGCCGTATGCCAACATGCAAATGAAAGTTGTGAGGAGGCCACTATGATGGGTAGGGTAAAAATAAAACAGAAAGATACAGTCAGCCAAACAGATGTCAAGAGGACTTATCATTTCAACATCAACGGCCCCGTCCGCCCCCCAAAAAAGGACAGAAGGAAAAACAAACAAACAAACAAAAAAGATGGAATGAACCACTCAAAGAGTGGCAAGGGAAAATTTTTTTTTTTTTTTACTTCCCTTCTTCTTTCTCTATCGTCCCTCGACGGATACGCAGCTTAACAAATGACAAGGGCACCACAAACAAACAAACATAAAATTGCAAAAAAAAAAAAACACAAAGAAAGGGTGGGTGGGGGAAAGAAAGAAAAACAAAATACCGGGAGAAACGGGGAACAAAACAACAACAAGAAAGAAAGAAAGGAATTTGGAAAAAGCCACGTGGAGATGCAACAAATATTCTACGCTTTACATTTCCCCCCAATATGGATGAAAAACAAAAACAAAAAAACAAAAAAGAATATATGTTTCGTCGTGTCGTCATTGTGACCACATTTATTTTATATAAATGCAGTACCCCCGGCAGAGTGTCCACGTGGGCTGCAATGCGCCCTCCAAACGTACGCTTTGCAGCAAACTTTGTGTGTGTGTTTGGGGAGGGGGGGGGGAATTTGAGAAGAAGACATCACGCGGGTACTCTCTTTGGGTGTCCCCTACGGCCAGACCGTTTTTTTTTCTTCTTCTCTCTCTCCCCCCTTTTTTGCAATCCCTCAGAGACGGATACAAAGAAATAAACACTTCCAGCGGGAGAGAGAGTGGGAAAGAAAAAAAAAAAAAAGATCAACAAAACAACAACAACAACCCCAAAAAACCCAATAAAAAAAAAAAATAAACGTTTTTTGCTTGGAGCAACGGGCGTCTTCCCTCCCCCCCTCCCCCTGCACTCAATCAACCATTCATTCATACTCTTTTTTTTCTTTTTTTCTTCTTCTTTTCTTGGCATTATTTACCATCGTTGATAGCCTGGCGTGCGTTCACATTCCCCCCCCCCCGACAGCCACACACATCTCCCTCTCTTTTTACAGATGTAAGCATGTTCCCCTTTTCTCTTGCCGGGGCCCTTCTCTCGTCACCGGCCCGCAACATGTTTCCCCTTCCCCGCCAAAAGCACGGTTCTTTGGGTGGGCGTTGTCCACTCGCCCATCCGTCCTTTCTTTGTCTCTGGCAGTAAAACAAGGGATTGGGGAAGGAGGAATATATTCCCTTTTTTTGTTTGTTTGTTTGTTCCGTTTCCGCTCCGACATTTGGCCACCAAAAAAAAAAAAAAAAAGAAAAAAATAAAATAAAATTGTGATGGCACTGCCGCCTCTTCTTCCCGCACACGTGCCCAGACGGACAAGCAAACACACACACAGAGAGGGAGAAAAAAAAAAAAAAAAAATTACTTCGCACGCACTCTAATACAAACGCATTACTTTTTTTCTCACACACACAAAAAAAAAAAAAAAAAAAAACCATTCATCGGGCCGCCTTAAACATTACAGAAATTTATCTAACTACATCATCACTTTCACCCCACCGAGAAGGCCCAGACCGATTATATATATATATATATATATATATATGTATATATCCGTGGCTATTTTCTTTGTATTCTATTTGCTATTCTTGTGGTCTGATGACTCTGGGCGATCAAAAGCCATTGGCGCCATTTCCCACGGGTTTGTGCGGCCTTCCAAAACCGCCCATGCCCATCCCTGCAAATCCAGCAATCCCTTCATTGGGACAAGCGGTTGGGGGGAAGCGCCTCCGTCCGTGTGGCACCGCATCACCCGTTGGATTGGGGTTGCAAGAAATTCCGTCCAGCACCGGAGCAGAAGCAAGCGTTGTCTGCGGCAGGCGGTGTCTTTCCCTTCCGCGGGATCCCAGCTGCTTGCCGGCTTCTCCATCCTGACTGAAGCACAAAAAGCGGCTATGCGTGTTGCCTTCAAATTTTTCCCGGACCTCAATATCGCGCTGCACCTCGGCGTCCAGCGGTTTAAGCCGAAGCAGCTCTTCCGCATCGCGCTCCCGTCGAACACGGGAGGGAAGAGCCTTTGGGGCCTCTGTGTTCCACGAGAAAATGTTTAATCCACTCTTGGAGAGTCGTTCCTCTCCCAGTTGCGGCTGCGGAATGTCATAATTGGCTGCAAAACTCCCCTTTTCGTTTTCTTCAGACATCAAAATGTCCTGCGGGAGCGGCATTGCTGTAGAACGCGGGTTCCGCAAGGGTTCCTGCTGAACGGCAAATGGTGCTGTCATGTATGTTGGCTGTTGCCCAAATGTCTCATCGCGGGGAACATGTCGCCGGCCACGGATGCGGTTTTCACGCACGCGGCTTTCACTTTCCAGCCCAATATTAGCAAGCATCGTTCTGTCCACCAATTTCCCTTTATTTAAATCTAGTCGTTTCGGCACAATTCTCTTCTTTTTTTTGTGTTTGTGTTTTCCCCTCCCTGAAGTATTTCTTTTCCTGTTTTGTTTTGTTTTTTCCCCCCTTTCTCTCTCTCTCTGCAAACTCTTCTACTCGGCGACAAGCTCTTGGGCAGGTGCGTGCTAATCCCGTGAAAGAGAGAAGTAAAAAAAAAAAAAAAAAAAACATGCCGTCAAGAGAGCTGTTCATTTGCAACGCGGCATGAAAAGTGCCATGCGTTCAATGGGGCATCAAAATAAATAAAAAAAAAAAAAGAGGACGAGATACACACGCGTGCTTGCACTCATGCAAATGGCTAACGGGAATTTTAGTGTCATGGCTCCCCCCCTCCCCCCACCGCCAGACACGACACAAAAGAAAAAAAATAAAAACCAAAAAACAAAAGAAAAAGAAAAATTGCCCCGCATTTAGTCAGGAAAACAAAACAACAACAACAAAAAAAAAATAATAAAAAAATAAAAAATGGATACAACTTATCCCAAGAGATAGATAGACAGATAGAAAGAGCCATGCATGCTTACTTTAATAACAATAATAATAATAATATAAACAATAAAATTCGCCCTTCTCGGGTCATTCACGTTTTTTTTTTTTTTTCCTTTTTTTTTTCTGTTTTGCCTCCACTACCTTTCCGTTTCCTTACTCTCTCAACCTTGCGCTATAGACGGTGAACGCATATGCACACACCTGTCCGTGATACTCCCCAGCTGCTACAGCTGCCAACCCATTGACATTCCTCCACATACACACATACAAAAACAAAAACAAAAACACGACGATACGATATATTTGTTTTTTCTCCTCCTCACTTTTCCTCACTTCATATTTCCTTTTTTTGGCGCCAGCCATGCGGCACCTGTCCTCATCCTCACCCTTCTCTTTCCCACGCATGAAGCGGAACAACAACAAAAAAGCAAAATTTAAATCAAAAGAATGGAAAAAGAATCAATAAAAAAAAAAAAAAAAAAAAAAAGTGCGCTAAAAAAACAAAAACAACAAAAAAGGTTATATATATATATTTATTTACTGGACACATCAAAGAAGTGTCACACGACGCCACGCGCGTATTCCGGGGTTTTGCCCCGCCACCCACGCTGAAACTGATCCAGGCCTCCCAGCGCCATGCTGATTTGGTCCCTCTTCTTGCTGTTTTCTTCGGATGCTGTCACTTATTTGGCTCGCTTTTGCGTCGTCCAGGCACACTTCATCGGCAAATGCCACAAGCCTGCGCTGCTGCGACAAAAGCTCCACTTCCCGTAGCCGCATGCAGGCCCCTGAGTCAGCCGCATCCGTCGATGATTTCACGCTGCTCATCAGAATGACACGCAGGGCTTCCGGAACCTTTCCAAAAGGAACGACGTAACGGAATACTGTTCGATAATCCACAAGAACAGAAAGATACGGCTGTTGTCCTCCAACGTTGCCGCCAGCGGCTTTACTGTTAGTTGCGATGGTTCCAAAGTACATGGCGACACGAGAGCCTTTCTGAACGGGCTCACACGCAACCACGAAGTTCTTGCGTTGAACTTCAAGTGTCATCTCGCCATTTTCGTCCACAACGCAACGAATATACGGCAACGAGTTGTATATAACCTCGGCGCCCAGTGCACGATCGTCCAATGTGGGCGTTTGCCTGCTTTTGTCCTGCGCTTTGGCGGTGTCCCCATTGTTGTCATCTTCGTTCACGCTTGCTTCCTCTTGTGTAACTTCCTCTTCCTCGTTGCTCATCTCTTCAATTTCTCGAAAAGAAACAAAAAACTGGCACGAACTTATCCGCTCAACGTTATCAAGCACAAACTGAATGCCTGAGAGTGTTTGGCCATCGCAAGAAGGACCCACGCACACCGTGGAGATTGCTATGGCAGTGTGCGGCCTCCCCGCCACACCGCCCAGTAACTCCATCAAGCCAGTACGCCCGTTTGCACGTATCGAAGGCGAGCACACCCAGCGGTAGTTGATCCCTCTTGCCCGGGTTGGGACTGCGGCCAACGTGGCGGGCACCACAGAAATCACAGGCTCCACCGGCTTAACTCCAGGTTCCACTTCCTCCTCGACCAGCACATGAATAAAAACAGGGTTCGTCGTTGTTGCTGCATTTGGAGAACCGAAAGCAAGCGCCAGGCAAAAGGGCTCATGCACATCAATGACGTCGGGGGGTGGTACAACAAAAGTGGGACCCTCCTTCCTAGAAGGAAGATGCGGGCTTGTGGGTTGCGCACTGCCCCGGTTTGGCGATTTCTCTTGGTTATCCTTTATCGTCACGGGTGGGGTATATTTCACCATTTCCGCTGAGGAATCATTCGTGGAAGTCGGTATCGCGAAATGGAGAGTTTGTTGTTCCTTCTCGGCATTCGGCTGCTTCGGCAAACTGCTTATCTTTTCTTCTTCATTGTTGCGTACCGGCTCAGCACGCACAAAAAGAGGCGTCGTTTCTCGAAATGACAAGGGGTTTTTGTTTTCTTCAACATTCTCGGCTGGCAAACTGTACGAAAAGGGTACCGCCTGTTCATTCGCATGCAACCGATCCGGAGAATTTACTGCATTGACAGGACGAACCCCCACGCCCTCGTTGCAGCAGGGTAATGCGATAGTTTCATATTGGAGAGGTGTGTGCACCGAGCCCCGCGCAGAGTCCGCGGGGTAATCAGACTGCTGCTGCTGCTGCTGCTGCTGGAGAGGCGTCGAAACAAGAGGGGTCTCTTCGTAATTCATTTGCCTTGAATTTGGCTCGTCGATAGCCATCGCATAAACGGACCCCGGTGAGGATTTCATCACCCTCTCCTCCTTGACAGGTGTTGGGGACAGCTTCCAAAGCCAGGAAGTGGCGTTCTGCGGTTCCGGATTGAAGGCGGCCGGTGCAGTGTTTTCGTCGTTGCCGGCCTCAGAGGGCGCGTATGGGTGTGCTGTCAAGGAGATATTCCGCTGCGGCAAGGAGAACGGTGACTCTGGCTCTGCAGTCTCATACGCATGCAAAGGGACCCTCGCAAGAGATGGTGTGGCCCTCTTCGATGGCAACTCAGAAAACGCCCTGAGTGCCTGCGCTGGTGTCGGGTCGCGTATACGCGGAAGTGCCGGGTTGGGAGTCCCGCGAGAAGGGCTGCGCCACACACTCGCCGCATCGTCCCCAGCCACGGATTCAGCGTTGACGGAGGAACGACCATTGAACTCCGACATGCTCCTCCGTGACGGGGGAAATGAGCCCAAACGAGTCGCCAATTCGCCCCCGTCCACAAGATCAGCGCGCGCGGCGAGGGCTATTGCCCCCTCCGCTGAGTATGGGCTCAGCCGCTGCACATGACTGGCACACGATGCCAACTCCTCCCGTAGCATTTGCCCCGATAGCGGTGTCGGCGTTGACAACGTACTCCCGCTACTCTGAACAATAGAGTACTGCGCCTTGACAGCATCGAGAAGAAGGGTTGACCCATCCAGGCGTGGCAACACCAGCTCCGCATGCACGCAGTAATCACCGGGCGGCAGCGCCATTTTCCTGCCGGAGGGCCACGTGTCTTTCGTCTCGTACACAACTCGCTTCTTCAGTTCATCGTAGACCGTTACTTTCAGCTTCGACTGCTTCTTCCCGCTCATTACCACGGCAAACTCAAAGTACCCGCGGTACT